TATAAATGAGTAAAACGAATTAATATTGAAGCAATTAAAAAAAAAAAATAAAGTAAAATTAATAAAACAAATAAAATAATTTAAAATATTATAAAACAAAACAAAATGAATTAGAAAAATTACACTAAAATAGCATAAACTAACCTACAATAAATTAAATTAATTAAAAAAAAATTAAAAAAAGATTTTTCTTTTATCTAAATATTTTAAATACGAAGCAAAATAAAAAAATAAAATAAAATAAAATATAATTAATTTAAAATGAATTAATATAATATCTAAGTTAATAAAATGAAAAATTTTTTAGCAAAATAAATTAAAATAAATAGAATAAAATAATTGCAATTAAAATAAGGAGTATAAAATTAGAAATCAAATAAAATAAAATGAAATAAATTAGTTAGATTTAATTAAGATTTAATGAAACGAAACAAAATAAAAAAAATAAAAGAAAATTAAAAATAGTTACAAATACAATAATAATAACATAAAAAAATAATATTATTTTAAATATAATAAAAAATACAAATAAAATAAAAACTAATGTAAATAAGGTAGTAAATAAAAAGTAAACAACGCAAAATAAAATCAAATAAATTATACTCAATAAAATAAAAATTAAAATAAAATAAGATGAACTAAAGTTTGGTAAGATAATATCAGATAATATATAAATATAAAATAATTAAATAAATTCATTGTACTATCAAAAAAAGTTATATGATGTAAAATAATATAAAAGGAATAAAAAAAAACAAATACATGCATTATTGTATGTATAAATACAATATATTAAAGATGGTTAAAAAAGATTTCAAGAAACAAAATCATACGAATTTATTGTTTTATAAAAAAATAATTAATATAAAATTTATTGAAATTAAAAAAAATTAAATTAATTATTAATAAATTATAACAAAATAAAGATATTTTAAATAAAATTAAATACAGTAAAATAAAGTAAGATAAAGTTCGATATGAAGTATGCAAATGAAATAAATTAAAGATTGTGAAATAAAGTAAAATTTAGTAAAATAAAATAGATAAATTTAATTTATTTAATCAAGGTAAACATAAATTAAATCAAATAGCTCATCCCATAATAACAGTGTTAGTAATAAAATTTATTTTGTAGAAAAATTATGATATTTATACATTCAGAGAGGCGATTGTTTCGCTGATTCTAAACAAATCAATTTTATTTACTGTCTTGTTTCTAGGAAATTATGAAAAAGTATCAAAAATCTATAATTAGTATATTCAACACTGTACATTTTCTATGAATTAAGGGGAAAAAATACTTTTTGTTATAATTCAGCATTATTTTAAGGTATTACAAACATACTTACATATGTATATTCATAGCTTGTGTATTTATGTTGTGTGTTGATATTTCTTTCACAAATAGACATTGAAAAATAAGAACAAAAAAAGGCGTAGAAAAAACTAATTAATTAAAAAGCGAACAATGAAGATAATTAATAAAATATTAAAAATACGTCGACATACAAAAAATTTGAAATGCACAATACTATAAACTTTTATATGCGGAAGCGGAAATAGTAAACCAAAAATGACCATTTTTTGTATTTTTAGTTATATTTTCGTAGTTTCAGCTGTTAAGTGATAAAAATTTATTTGGAAAAATTAACCAAAAAAAAAAAAAGAAACACACATTTTTTCTTTTAAATACACATTACATTTTATTCATTTATTGATTTGCTTACATTAAATATATATGTATATTTTTTTGTTTCATCTCTCTTTTTCAATTTCAATTTTAATGTTAAAGTACATAATATTTAATTACAAGTGATTTCTTATTATTTGTACACTGAATAAACAACTTATTAGTTAGCTATTTATTTATTTATTTAATTATTTATTTATACATATTTATATATATATATGTATATATGTACGCATAGATGTGAATTTTTTTTTTTTTGAATTACAATTACTATTAATTACATGTCTTCAATACTCATACGTTTCTCATTTTATTTTCAAATAGATTTATATTTAAACTTTTTTTTTTGTTAGTTGTCTGCCTTTTTTTGTTTTTGTTTTTGCTATTTACATATTAATTTAAATTTGAAAAATTCACTTATATTCAACAATTATATTATATATGTAACTTAAAAGCCTATATAAAATTAGCTAATTGCTAACCACCTTTTAGCCAAACACCGTCTGATATAATCAACCGTTACTAATGTCACGGTACGCCATTCATTAATGTCTTTCCTCTGCTTTTACTAGCCTAGTTTTATATATAATTTTTATTTGGGTGTGTAAAACATTTGTTTTTTATTTTCGGTTGTTTATATACAAATTTTATTTATATATTTATTATGTAACTTTTACACACCAGCTCCGGCTGAAAATCTCTTCTTAAATAACTATTTTTATTTTTAAATATGCAAAATCTCTTCTTTTTTTTATTTTTTTTTGTGTGATATGAAGTGTTTACGATATTAGTTATTCGTTGATTTTATATATATACATACATACATACAATATTTAGTTGTGATGTAAGTTTTGTTTAGCATGCTATATTCATATGTTATAATATCTACATCTACATACATGATAAAATTATGGGACGGGTGGAGGGGTGCAGAGGATTAGTACTCATTTAAATATACAAGTTGTGTATAATTTACTGGTTGATTAAATTATTTTTATAGAAAAAAAAACCTAAAACTAAGGAAGAACAACTTTTATTTATTTTATTATATTTTTCTTTATTACAGTGGCAGGATTATAATTTTAATTGGCAGCAAACAGGAAAATAAATTTTTAATACGATTCAAAAGTTCATAAGAAATGTGGAATGAATAAACAAACAATATATAATATATAATACAAACGCACATACCTACATACATATATTCATAGCTGCATTTAATTCCCTAATTATTTTGAGGAAAGCAGCTAAAAATTGAAAAGTTTATGCGAAGTCTTCTGGCTATACTTAATAACTCTATTTATTTTACGTACTTTATACTGTATTTTTGTAATAAAATGTAGTTTATATTATTTTTTATTTATTTATTTTATTTTTATACATTTTTCTTATTTTTATTTTTTCTTTAAATTTCCATTTAATTTAATTTAATATTTTTTTTACTTTATATTTATATTATAAGTTTTTTTTATTTCATTTTAACTGGTTTGGTTTCTATTTTATATTTTATTTCAATTTACTTGAGTTACATAATCAGTTTGTTTGTGCCTTTTTTATTATTATTATTTTAATTAAAATTTTACTACTTGAATTCCTTTTATTTTACTTATTTTAATTTTCTTAACCCTTTTATGTTAATATTATTGTTATACATTGCTTTATTTCTTTTCATTTTGTTTTGAGCAATATACATTTTTTATTTAATTTATTTTTCCTTTTTCATTTTTTTGTATTTGTTTCACTTGTTGTACTTTTTACTTTATTTCCATATGGTATTAATTTTTTATATCAGCTTATTTTTTATTTTTATTTTTATTTTTGTTATAATATTATATGCCGTTTTTTATTACAGTTCATTTTATTTTAATTTTTGTTTCTTTAATTAATTATTTTAAATTTATTTAATATTGTTCTACTTTTATTTATTTTGAATTTTTTTATTTCACTGTCATTTATTTATTTGTTTTATTTTATTTATTAGCTATATTTCACTTCATTTAATTTTTAGATTATTTATTTATTTTTCCTTTATTTTTATTTCGTATTATATTGTTTTGTATTATATTATTTTATTTCATATTATTTTATGATAATATAGTATTTTGCTATTTTATTATGTTTCATGTCTTATGTTATTTTGATTTGCTTCATATTATTTTATTTATGTTCATTTTTTGGTTTCTGACTTTATTCCATTTTATTTTTATTTACTTTACTTTCATTTAATTTTATTTTATATAATATTATTTTTTATTATATTATTATTTTACAAATTATTTTATTTTATTAAAAACAATGTTATTTAATTTATTTTGTTTTGTATAATTTATTTATTTATATTTCACATCAATTTATTTAAATTTAGTTTGCAATTTTATTCTAATTTATTTTAATTTTATTTTATATCTATTTAATATATTTATTTTAATATAACTTGTTTTTATTTATTTCATTTTTTATTATATTTTTTATTCATTTTATATTATTTTACCTTTTTTATTTCAATTTATTTTATGATTTATTATTATTTCAACTTATTTTCTTTGTGTTTTATATTTTTTATTTTATTTAACCTTATTTAATTTAAATTTAATTTCTTTTATTATTTTATTTCATTTTATTATATATCCTTTCCTTTTCAAAATTTTCCTAATTTTTTCTTCAGTTTATTACCGGATTTTGGTACACTCAATTATTTTATTGTTTTTTTAGTTTATTTAATTTTATTTTATAGAATCAAAAAAAATATTAAATCAATAAAAAATTTCTTAGAGTGTTTTTGAGAATGAGAAGAAGTAAATGTTTTTCTATTATTTATACTATTAACTAATAAATATATGTATTTACGTCCCGATTAATGAGTAAAATTTAATCTCTGTGATTAATTAAAAATTTAGGCGAAAAAATGAAGGAATAAAATATGCAAAAAATCAAAAGGAAGATATGCAGAGGCTTTTGAGGCATTTTAAAAATAGTGGTTACATATATACAATATATATGTACGTACATATATTGGATACATTTTTGCTAATATTTCAAGTAAGCAAAACTGAATGAAATTGCAAAATAAAAGGTAATATCAAACAGAAATGGTAGCATTAAAATGTCCTTAAATTTAACAATTCAACATAATTCAAAAAAAAAAAAAAAAAACAAATAGTTCTGGGGGCATTAACACCGACAGTTTTTAGCTTTTATCCTTTGTGTTGAAATCATGTACAAACACACATACATACATAATCTCTACTTATATTCGTATTTTTAATTTAATTTTGTTTTTGCTATATTTGTCAGTTGGCTTAACTGTTTGTTTTTTTTTTTTCCTAATTTATCACTCATTTTATTCGTTGATACTGACTGCAGCGCAATTTTGTTTCTCCAACTGCTTTTTACCTGTAACTCGGCTTCTCCTTTAAATCGTTAATTTACTGTTTCTTGCCTGTTCGCCTCACACGAGGTGTCCCTTCCCCGTTCGCACTGCCTTTCGATTGGTCAAATGCCCGTTCACGCATAGTCATCGGATGTTTCGTAGTAGTGCGTCAATGATGGCGGTGGAGCAGCAGGAGGTGGCAACAACGTTGAGGCTGCGCTACTCGTTACCGACGGCAATTGTAGAATTGGCGTTGGTGGATCGTTGGCCAGTGATGGCGTTGTTGGCGGCGGTGGTGGACTGCCAGGAGATAACTTAATAGGCAACTGTTGATATTGAGGATGTTGATATTGATGCTGATGATGATGGTATAGATCGGACTGGATTGCTTGGCTGTGCTGATGCTGCTGCTGCTGCTGCGGTTGCTGCGGTTGCTGCAGCTGATGCGTTGCATATTGGTGTTGCAAAGTACGGTTATTACTCAGATTCCCACCGCCACTGGTATTGCCAATAGTGTAGTGCGGCATCACTGCGAGTTCGGTCTCAGTGCCTTCGAGCAAATTATATGCACCGCGACCTCCTACGCCAATGTAGCTTGCGCTATTACCGCTGTAATGTTTGTTGCCATCACCACAAATATCGCTGCCGATGCCACTACCACCAGCATATGAATTGCTGCTGCCCGCACTACTGCTGATTATATTCGCGCCCCCACCCCCACCAACACTCATTAATAAAGCGTTGCTGCTGTTGCCGCCACTACCAGTACTACCACTCACACCCCCCCCACCAGCGCCCACTAAATTACCTCCACTGCCGCTGCCGCTGCCGCTGCCTGCACTGGTGTTGCTATTGCTATTGCAATATTGCATCAGCAGATTCTACACCATATTCACGTACTTATCTTGTGGCGTCATGTAGTCAAGGCTGTTCTGCGAGAAGGCCTGTGCGGAAACGGTGCCGGTGAATGATGGACTAGGTGAGAGGCCGAAATTCGAGGCGCTATAACCGGTGTGGCCCATATTGTAGTTGACTTGATTTTGATTGCTGAAATACTCCATCTGCGAGTAATAGCTTGGTGCCTGAGCATAATTGTTCGGATATTGGTTATATTGATTATGCCAGAAGTTGTACGACTCATGATTCGGCATGTACGCCGAGTGAGCGGCGGAATGATGCGCCGATTGTGCGTTTTGTGCAGCATGCGCAGCGGCGGCAGCTGACTGTGGTGACATAGGCGTAATGGGCGGCGATGGTGTTGTGATGCTGGAGCTAGAATCCATCGGCGTAATATTACCGCCGGGTTGTACCAAACGTGGATTCGTCGAAGCAGCTGTGCCATAAATGCTGTGATGATGAGCCACACTACTGCTAATATCCCCACCCTCATGCTTCAATGCATCATAATTGGCACGCATTGAACCATCATTAGCGCCACCAAGTGGGCCGCCGCCGGCATAACCAGCACCGATATGTTCTTTCTTGCAAACAATACTAACGGGACTAACGGAGGTGGCGGGTGTGGGCAGTAGAGGTGATGAATTTTGATGCGCGGCCACTGAGGCGTTTAGTGAGTTCACTGTAGCCACAGACGGACCAGACGCCATAGAGTTGATACCGCTACCGGTCATATGATGCGGATGTGTGGAGTGTGCGTGTGATGAAACGGCAGAGCCGGAGGTGGGTGTTAACGCTGAGCCCGACGTAGCGGAGGAATTTAGGAAGGAACTGTGATGAGATTTTATAGACTGTGCGACGGCGGCCGCAGCAGCGGCTGCAGCTGCTGACGAGCCGCTTGGATTATTCGCGTTGGCACCAGAACTCGAGGAGTTATTCGATTTATTGCCACCACTACCGCCCGATGTTGAATGCGATGAATGTGAATTTGATTTGTTGGCGTTCGATGAGCTGGAATTATTATTGCTATTACCGCTATTCGATGTGTTGCGGGATGAGGAGCACGAACTGGATCCAGAGACATTCTTCGAACTATTAAGGCTATTTGTTTGTTGTTGTTGCTGAAGTTGTTGACGACATTTGGCGCGTCGATTCTTGAACCAAACCTGGGGAAACACGAAAACGAGACAAGCAAGAGGATTACATTAAAAGGATGATCAGATATTTATAAAAATGATTTTGAGAGTCTTTTCGAAAATAAATTTATATAAATTAAGTAAAATAAAATAAATTGGGTGCCCTTTCAGTGAATTTTGCAAACATTTTTTTCACCAGAGTTGCCGCCTTTTTAAAATTTCATATAAATTTTTTTTGTCAAGTAAAACATATATTTCAATATAAGCATAAAAATGTGTTTTTTACGTTTTCATACCAAAAAAATTTTCAAAGAGAGTTGCCACTTATTCCAAAATTAAATTAAATGAAATTTTTTAAAAATAAATAAAATAATTACGAAAATATGTAGATAAGAGAATTTTTGGCTGTAAATGATTAATGCTTAGAGTTGCCATTTATTGGAAACATTAAACTACAACATTTTTAAAAAATATTTTGAAAACAGTAGTGAGAACAATCGGAAGTATTTGAATTATACGTTTTAATATCAGGTGTTAAGGGTGTTAAGTTAAATTGAATTTATAATTTGAATGAATATAGATCCGCCCAGTATTTGAATCCATAAAATTCCATATGAAAGTACCTTTCTGATGCTGCGACTACCAATAATTAGCTCACTCCTGTCTGTATTTTGGAAATGTGTAAGTTTGAATTGCGACTTCAGGGGAGAGTCTGTGGTTGGCTTCTCAATAAATTCTCCCATGGGTCTTCCACCTAACTTACTGATGTCTACTATTCAGTAAACCAACCAAGTCGCATCATGCTGAGACGGACTCAAAATATCGTATAAGACTTTCTTCACCATCAACGGATATCTGCAGAAGAAGCTGTACGCACCAACTTAACGTAATCAAATGCAATTTTTAAGGAGTTGGCTTTTAAAATGCCTAAATTGAAATTCCACTCTTCAAGTAAAATCAAAGAAGAAAATATTAAAACCATTAAATTTTTGATTTTTCTCATTCACCACTGCTAAAACAATTAAAAATCCGCAAAATGACATTTTCAAAATTTAATTTTTTATTTCTCCAATTTTTTTTTTCGCTGACAAAAGCAAATTTTCACTTTTATTTGAAGTAGAAAAACCACATCAAAGCTTTAAACTAGCAAAATTCCCATTCAAGTAATTTCGAGAGAAAAAAAAACAGAAATTCAATTTTATTCTTCATTAAATGATTTCAAAAGTAGCGCTTATTTCAAAGCTTCACAAATGCGCAAAGAGAAGCAACAACAAAGCACAAATCAAAATTTAACATCGGAAATATGCTCAAGAAATCTAAGGCGTACTCAGAAGGGTGCCAAACACACAGACACATGCACGTATGCACTCAGAACGGCTAGCAGTGAGCCCTGCTGAAGCGCATTGCTTGCCGGGCGTCCCTTTATACAATTTTTTTCTCTTTCTTCTTCTTTCCTTTAAAATCAATGCATGACACTTGACAATGAAAGTACGCTAACTCAGAGAAAACTGTAATATAATTCGCATTTTACAATTTCGCCTTTGTCAGCGCTACGCCGAAGGAGCGACGCGCCACGGAGTTTGGTTTGCCGGCGCTTGTGTCGGTGTTGGTGATGGCGATGATGAGGTTGTTAATGATGATGAATGGCTATGAGCGCAATTTGCCAACCTTTCTATTTGTGCGCCTGTTTGTTGTTGTTGTTGTTGTGTTTTTAAACAAATTTTCTGCAGCAACAATGCATGAAAATCTTAATGCGGTGGTTGGTAGCGTTGACGCTGACTGCCTGACGGTAGTGTTGTTGTTGATGGGGCGTTAAGAGGGTAATGAAATTTGATACGCCTTGTTTAATGCGTTTCCATTTCCCCTTCCACTTTTCCAAACACACAACGCGCTGCTAGCAATTTTGTGGCAGGAAAAGTAAAGCGAACAATCAGGCAGATAGAGAAGCGGACAGACAGACAGACAGACACTATGTCAAATAAAACGCCCTCAATCATTTTACCGATTTCAATGAAATGCTCGAATGCACACGACCGGCTGTGGGAGCAGTAGCCGAGTTGAGTGAGTAGAACGAGCTAAACTGTGTTTGTATAGAAACTGTGCAGTGGGAGGAGTAAGTTGATGTGGGTGTGAGCTGTGGTGGTTTGATATGGGTTGCGTTGGCTGCCGCTGCTGCTGCCGCCAAATATCCCTTGACAAGCGCGCTTGCTGACTACCGCCGAGTGTTAACTTCACGAGGTTGCTTGAAAAGTTACTTAGTATATATGTTCGTGTGAATGCCTTGAATGTTATGTAAGTGGCGAACTTCTCTCCTTCCTTACTCAGTATGAAGTGATCGAATTGCAAGAGTACTCGGGTGTTAGTTTGGGGTTTGAGTAATAAATTCGATTGTTTACCAAACGCTAACCATTAATGAGTGGCAACAAATGTTGATATCAAGAACGTACGGTAGACTGAGTGGGTTATTGAAGATTACAAGATTTGTTTAATCGGCATCGGATGGCGTAGTCAGAGATGGAAAATTTTATTGAATATTATAATCTCTACAAGCTTTAGGTCTGTTTAGGCGAAGAAGTCGTTCTTAGTTAAAAAGTTCTTAGCGATTCGAAGTGAATGTGGATGTTGGAACTTCCATCCAGTCTAACGTAGGGAAACAAAGAGGTTTGTAAAAAAAAAATCAGGACTCTAATAAAACGGAGCTGAGTAAATCGAAATCATAGGCGAAAAAAAATAAAATTTTGTAATAGCAATTTCTATAACCAGATACATGTAACTCACAGGAACTTATGATCATTCGAAAATGATTTCTTGGGGTCAAAAGGTCTCATTAAGAAAGGAAGTCATTGACGCCACCATGATATTCCTCACGAAAGTCGCATAATATATTACGGACATGAGTTTACCGGAATCTTAGTGGCACGGAAGGTCGAAGGTTATTCCAAGATGTAGTCGCTTTTAGTCCAAATGCCCAAAACGAAACCGGCTGTAGTCCCGCATATCACGATTATCCTCCAAATAAAAGCAACCGTGTAGTTAGCAGTGCTTGCTTCTATGTGGAGGGTTATGGCTTCCAGTCCTGAACCGACCAAAAGCAAAAATTAAATATTATAACCTACTAATAACATACCACAAACGGGAAGTACGTGGTTTGAGAACTTGTCCAACCATTCTCAAAAATTATAGAAAATCACTTTTTCTAATTGCGGTCGCTCCTGGGCAGGGAATGTTAAGCCTTCCTAGTGTATTTCTGACATGAAAAAAAGCATTTCATCACAACCCAATGGCCGTTCGGAGCAACTTAACACCGTAATATCCTCACTCATAAATTTCGAGGACAGGTAACTCTCGAATGTAACCCCGGAAACGAAGTTTAATTCATATTTTGAAACCGAAGTTGATCATTCCTTTAAGGGAGTCAGGGTTATAGATAAAAAATTTAAGCACATTATTCCACGTAAATACATTTGTGTGTCAGTAAACGCCTGAGAACAGAGCAAGTGGTCAGAAGGCGTGCGAAAAGAGCGAATGGAATATACTCGCATTCACAAGGACAATAAACAATCGTATGGCAGCACTTTGCGGATATTTCAGATTTCCCCCCACCCCCAGCTTTCCTTTAGCATAACAAATAAGGATAAGTGAAGTGCTTGCTTGGCTGCCCCAGTGCCAGCCGCCTGCTGACTGTTATAGAAGTTAATGGGATGTTGCGGAAGTGGTTAAATGAAGAGGGTGAAATCGGATGTGCGTGAGTGGGTGGATGGTGGTTGATGGTTGGGTGTGGGGCGCATTGGACGCACTCAACAATATAATCGAGTCAATTTTCTTATGCACGCGCACGCACATACAAACATGTATGTATGTATGTATGTGTGTTGTCCTTTGAGAAAGCACTGCTTTTTATTATCCTTTAGCCGTGAGCTGATTGAATAACTTCATCAATGAGTTGGTCTCGTTCGTGCTTTCGCTTGTTTGTTTATTTGTTTGTATTGCGGTGTGGCGTGGCGTTATGTGGCGCGTGACTTTTTGCACTTGCTGTTGGCTGGCTGTTGCCACAGTTGATACAGCCGTTGGCGTTGCAATGAAAACACTTTTTATGCGTAGAAGATTTTTTATTTTATTTTATTTTGCTTTTCGTCATGGAGAGTGCCGTTATAATTTATTCATTAATGCCATTTTCGCCTGCCACTGTCATTGCCGTCGATGGGATGGTTGCTGCACTTGTTGTTGTTGTTGTTTGCTTCTTAACACTTGACGTGTGTACCGTTAATGTGTTTGGGCGCCCACATAGTTGTTTTTTGTCCTTTTTTTCTTGTTGATTTTTCTTGTAGTTGCGTTAACACTAACAACAATGGCACTCGCACTAAATAAATAAACACATGCTCTGCACTCTGTACTCTCCACTCTGCACTCTCAATTTTTAATGTGTTCTCAACACTTTGACGTTATGGGAGTTAATGTAGTAAATGATAAACAAGTAAACAATGCCAAAATGTTGCTACATTTAGGCATGAAATACTTATGTAGATATGTACATACATACAAATATATATATAAATGGTGTGTGTATTTGTGTGGGCGTCCTTATAGGCATGAGAAAATGGCAAAATTATTAGTTATTCATGGTGTTCTAGTATTTTTTTTATTGTTGCCCTTTTGTACTTTTTTAAAGTATTTTATTTTAAAAGCATCTAATAAAAAAAAATATTTTAAATAAAATTTCCTCAGAATGGGGCTCGACAGAATGAAGTCAGGGTCGTATCATGTTGGCGAAAAAGGGGCACATTCGCCTCCATTCCGTCAGAAGATTATGCAAAAATGATGCAAACTAATAGATTTATGATAAACTAACAGCCCCGTCAATAGCTCCTGTTTTGATTTTTCTTGTATCTCCTTAATCGCAGCAAAACGCTTTCCTTTCATCTGTGTCTTCAGTTTTGGGCAGAGGAAAAAGGCAGCGGGCACCAAGTTCGGTGAATACGGCGGTTGAGGCATGATCACAGTTCTGTTTTTGTCACGCACGAGCATCGGTA